CCACACACACACACACACACACACACACACACACACCGTTTAGTGACAGAACTTCTTTCCACGACAAGACCTTAAATCTGGTCCTTACATAGGACATTAACCATGAGACAGCTCAAGAACCCTGTGGATCCGTAGGTTGCATGGAGGTTGGGGATGGGGGCCAGGCCCAGGGCAGCTACTCACTGAAAAAACACAGCCAGTGGTACCTGTTCTATGTCAAGCACTGAGAGACATCATGAACATCCCCTGGGATCAGGGTAAGGATAACCTTAAAGTAAAAGTTGGCAGGTGAGACTTAAGTAGTACACAAATTAATTTGTTTTACTCACTGTATATTTTTATATGTACTAGGAAAACTACAACGAGCACAAGTTGTGATGCAATGTTTCCTCTAAGATAGATTTAAGTAAAAAGTTATAGCTTTAAAAATATAAGTATATAATACCACAGCTTGTACTTGGGTATGGCAAAAATCATAAAGGAGCCTTCCAGTTCCTCAAAAGACTAGCGCCCCTTTGGAGAATCATATGTGCCACAGAATGTTTCTACTTTGAACCTTGAAACATTTGCCCATGGCTAGTAATTAGAATTGCTTTGTTTTAAAGAATCCCTTTTACATCTGACATTGATGAAGCACATTTCATTATGGGCCATGTAACATCTGTCGATATTTCCAGACATCTGTGCAAGGCACTGGGGAGAGAAGGGACCCAACATGGTCACCAGGCTGGGCACTTCGCATGTGGTCTCCCATTGACACCTCATAAGAACTCGTTAAAGGAAAGTCGATGTTATTTAAGCTCAACCTACAGATGAGGAACTGAGGCTCAGAGAAGTTAAGACAGTTGCACAGGATCCTACACTAAAAGTTGAGTGCCGATTCTAAGTTCATGCATCTATGTCCAGCAGACTCTACAGCCCATGGACTTTATTCATATCTGCAGTGTGGTTTGAAAAAGGGGGTGGAGAGTGGGGACTTGGGGAATTTGTTTAAATTAATCAAGTAAGGAAAGATGGGCAAGTAAGTTCTTCAATAATGCCTTGGGCCTTAAATAAGAATAAACAGTACTATGTTCCAGGCACTTACTATGGCCAGGTACTGTTCCCAGCATTTTGTCTATTCATGTAATTCTCACAACAAGCTGATGAGGTAGCAACTACTATTATCCCTATTTTACACAGGGGGAAATGAAAATTGGAGAGATCCAAAAGCGTATTTGATACACTTTTCAAGAACACTGCATTTGTCATGAGTAGTTAATATGACCTAAGAAAGGACACATGTCATGGAATCAGAAACTGTAGGTTCTAGTCTGACTACTAATTTGCCATGCAGCCTTAGGACCTTTATGACTTCTGGTGCTTTTTCCAAAAAAGGATCTATTTTTAGAAAAGGGTTTAGGCTAGGTAATTATTAACATTTCTTCTAGCATTTAATTTTACACAAATTTGAGAGAGGAGAGCAATCCACTTTGGGTTGCTTTTTGCCATCTCCATGTTGAGTTGTTTTACATTTTCCTCCTTACTTTGAAATCAGAAGAACCAAAGTCTAGAATATGGGGTCAAAGAAGGGTATGTGGGTTTGCTCTGTATAATTATAGGTATTTAAAAGATATTTAAAGAATTGCTTTCTGATACTTAAGCTACTGACTCATCAGCAGGACTGGAAAGAATTTTTAAGGAAAAATGAATTGTAGAAAGGTACTTTGTATATAGGCAATTAATAGAATCAAGTATGCAAAGTTCCTCAACAGAGTGTCAACAACACCTTATGAGTTTATAAAACATAGCTAGGAAAATAAAAATAACCCACTCAAACATTAATGTGAGTGACAGAGCATTTGGCTTTTAGAAGCAGGACAAAGAGGAATCCATTAATATGTTGAGCTCCTACTAGGAATGTAGTAGCTCCTATTAGCACTGTGCTAAGTATGTACTAGGAAAAACCCAGGAAAGACAAGGATCTTTCAGGATAGTGGGGGGCCAATGTGGGGGAAGGCAGTAGGAGGTAAGCAGATAAATTACTATGCAATGTGGTAAATGCTTTTTAATAAGTTGCTCTGCCTGATTGAATCAAAAAAAGTTTCACAGAGAAGGTAATTTATCAGTTGGGCCTTGAAGTATTAAGTAAGAGTTTGCTAATGAAGACTAGAGAAAGGATATTCTCAGCAATGAAAACTGGGTGCAAATACACTAAGTTCTAAGGCAGTCTAGTGTGTCAGGGCAATACCCATACACAGGTCTGTGGGGAAGAAAATATTGACGGGGCTGGGAGGGAAATTTGGGCTGCATCAAAGGCTGAGTTTGTACTGATTACATAGACCAGGGCAGTAAGTTAGCAGAGATTTTTAAGCAGAGTCTTGACATGATAACCACTGTTTTCATAAAGATAATTAGAATGAACAAGGAGAAAAAACTAGTGGAGAGAAACTAATAGTAGTGTTTTTAATCTCTGCTGAGCCCCCGGTGGCACTTCATAGTCCTTTTATTACTCCTGTTCAACTCCTCCATTCCAAACTTTTATCACCCACCTCAACCCCCCATATTTATCTCTGTCCCACTGTGCAAATAATCCTGCCTTATCCGTAAAAAAAAAAAAGGTTGGTGCCATTTGGCCTGAATTCTTAAAACTTCAGACTTCTTCCCTCATCCAAATTATCTTCCATCAGACACACCAGTACAAAGGCCAAGCCCTCCAGCTATTCCCTAAGACCTTACCCTCTTCTCCCCTTTTATCAACATTTTCCAGAGTGGTTCTCTTCCCACCCTCCCATCTTCTCATTTGGCTGCAATCAAGCTTGTCCTCCCACCGTAGCAATGAAACTGATTTCACGCAGTAAAATGGCCAGTGAACTCCAAATTTCCAAATTCAATGGAGCCTTTCAGTCTCTGCTTCAAGGACCCCTCTAACAGTGTGAATAAAAGTTTCTCTTTTGTAAGCTCACTATTCTGTACCACCAGCTTCTAGAACAGCAAACTCTCCTTTTCCCCTTCGGTCTGCTCCTCTGTCTGCCCCCTAAAAATCTCACCTTCCATCCCAAGTCTCTAGCATGGGCCCTCTGCTCCTCTGCTTACTTTACCCACTCTTGGAGAAGTCATCCACTCTCAGGTCACTGTATGTGGAGGATTCCCAAACCAAAATATCTGGCCCATCTTTTGTATGAGCATCAGACCTACCTATGCTCCTGGGCATTTTTAGCAGATAGTCACACAAAGACC